AAAATTGCCCACTCAAGCTTAAAAGTAGTGGTTCAGAGTACATGGACATTCTGGTTTGAGGGCCACACCAGAAAGTTCTAAATAAAGAGGGGGGAAAAAGTAATCTGATTTTTAAACACCCGGATTAATCTTCATTAATTCTTGAGGATGCATGCATCAATAGATTATCAAGAAAAATTAGTCACCTAAAAACAGCTTAAATTCTAGTCAAGGTACTGGCATGTTAAGGCCAGGTGTACTTACAGGACTTTGGTTCGGGTCGTCGGATTCAACTTTGAAACTTCTTCTATAACACTAAGAAAAGCAGTATCATTAGAGCAAGTAATTAGTTAATACGTATGATTTGAGGCATTAATAAACTTGTTTTACATGATTTATAAGATATAACTTATACGTCAAGCAATTTCAAAGTATTTCTGTAATTAAGAACCAATAATTGTTTGAATTGGTTTTGGGTACACCTGTAACCTTATCAATTTTTTTGATTTTTTTTAAACATCATAATAAAATTAAAATAAGAAACATGGGCAAGTTGTTCCCTTTTTTCCTGGTTTCCCTTAAACCTTGTTTACATGAAATTTTGAGTGCTCAAAATCTTAATCAACCAGTTATTTCTTATCATATTGAAGTGTTTTAATTTCTTCCATCGTCGCCTTATATACCAACTAGCTCTTTATCTAATAATATTTCTTTTCTTATAATTGAAATGATAAGTTCAAATCCCTTTGATACACGATAGTCTTGTAGGGATTTTTAACCCCGAGTAGATGGCGAAGTCACATACGTATATGTCATCTTTAAAACCTTGTATTTAAATAGAGAGCTTATATTTTAATAGAGCGGATCATGATGGGTACCCAAATAAAATTCCTTTATATGACACATTCCATGTATTCTAATGTGGAACTCGAACAACTTTTTCCTACTTTATCCGGTGCATAACTCCACACGAATTTGACAAACTTTGAAGTAAACTATACCAGATCGAGCAAGTTGCGATATTTTTATCAGATCAAAACACATGTTTTAAATATTACAAGTGCTCAAGTGGATCCATGGTGGTGGGTGGCTTGTGTCCAAGGAGACAACTTAAAGTCAATGTCATGCTTAAAGCTACAAATTTTCTATATTTTTTTCTCTAATCACATTCAACCAGTCATTTTCATACATAATTTTCAAAGCTAAACCCTAGCTGTGTATAGGGTTAGACTTGAAGTCCAGATTCGCTTTTGTAATAAGTGAATGTGAAAAGCAGCTGCTGCTATGAAATTCAGTCACGGCTCTTTCCTATTGCAACATGTTGCTTGTTGCTTATCACTTTTTTAACATGATAAAGATTAATCAGCTTATGAATAAGCAGGAGCCAATATACATCTTCTTTCTATAGATTTTTTATTTGTTATTGTTATTGTTTTTGCTTTTTGGTGTTGGTCCAGGTGTTGTGTCAGCAAGTTGAATTTAATCAAATTTGATTGCAGATTTTCAAACTTGTTTGATGACCTTTCCATTAGCTGTCTTGTCTTGGATAACCATATTTTGACTTTAATATATGAATTCAAGTGATAACCACTCTCAAGATTTGATAATCTTGGGATTTGACTATGCCGAAATTATGATTCAGCATTGGAAATTTGTTGTGTCTAGGGTTCGTGAGGCCCTATATATCAATTTTGGTGGAGTTACATTTATTTTTTTGTTTCTTGGTGTAGAGTAGTCTTTACTTTGGACTCCTCCACTTTAATTCTCTTATGCTTGTAATTTCAACAAATTTGTAGTTTTGGTCCTCCTTGGCTAATTTTCATGATGAATTTGCAATAGTGATTAATTAAATGGTTGATTATTTTGTTATATTTAAAAAAAAAGGCTTATTTATTGTTTCACCCTCTAAAACGGACATTTAGTCTCACTTTACCCCCTTAAACTGAAATTTTCTCACTTAACCCCCAGAATCTCTAAAAGTTGCTAAAATTTTCTCACTTTACCACTTTTGTCCATTTCCGTCCACAAAACCGTTGAGGGTGTTGACATAGCATGAGCATTCTAATAGTTTTAGCTATCTATTTTATCTCTCTCTCTCTCTCTCTCTCTCTCTCTCTCTCATTATCTCTGTTAAGAGAGAAATACAGGGAGTGGCTGTCGAGGAGATTTTTTTAAAAAATTTGAGTGGTGGTGGTTTAGGTGTGTTGAGTAATTCCATGAGGGTTAGGTTTGGGGTGGGGATCGGGTTTGGCAAGGGGAGGGGAGAGAAGAGAGAAGAGAAAAGATAGGAGAAGTAAGAGGGGTAGGGGTGGGGGTGGGGTGCGATGGAGGTTGGGTCCAAGAGGAGAGAGGAGAGAGAGGTAGAGGGACTAAGAGAGAGAGAGAGAATAGGGAAGATAAGAAACTAAAATTACTAGAATGTCCATGCCATGTCATCACATTTAACGGTTTTGTGGATGGAAATAGATGAAAGTGGTACAGTGAGAAAATTTCAGCAATTTTTAGAGATTCATGGGGTTAAATGAGAACATTTTTGTTTGATAGTTTAAAGTAAGACCGTGTGTCTGTTCCAAAGGGTGAAACAATAAATAAGCCTTAAAAAGAAAAGGACAAGGATTTTCATAAAGTCCGGCTTGAGCCAGCTGCCCTAGCCCATTAGCACTATATTGGGCTCAACATCCTTCCTATAAGCCTATTATTTTTGGGCAAATAGTCTTTTTTTTTTTTGGATTATACGGTTGGGAAATCATCTTAACCAATGTAGCCCAATGAGAGTAGATACCATCAACCAAGTAATAACCCAGATTGTATTCATTTCCACTGACAACATATTGGATATGGGGAGACACTCCATTGACTATATCATTGAACAATGGGGAACAAGCTAGGATGTTGATATCGTTGTTCGATTCGGCGACTCCAAAAAAGGCATGCGATATTCAAGTGTCATACGAAGCCACTGCCTCTAGAACGACAGTCGACTTATGCTTGTAGCTGGTAAACTGGCCTGAACAAGCAATGGAACAGTTCTTCCATTCCCAATGCATACAATCAAAGACCGCCTAACATGCCTAGGAATCCTCTATGACTAGCCTTGTGCAAAAGCCTGTAAAGGTCGGCCGGATTTAGGGAATGGAGGTACCACTGGTCATATACACGGCTTCAATAATGAAACAAAACTTTCGCAAACATTAAAGGGCTATAGATTCACCCAATCTACAGTACTCGTTGGTGGAGTCTGCCGAGCCTCCATATGCGAGCATTCGAATAGTGGCTGTTAGCTTCTGCTCTTGACATAGACTTTGTTGTCCACAATCATCTATCTTATGGGTAAAGTATGGCTTATGTGCAACAATATCATTCAAGATGCGATTGAGAAACTCTTTTCTCATGCGAAACCGTATGCAAAAGTCCACTTGGGGATAAAGTAGTCTTTTACAAAAGTAGTCCTCCATGAGACTCTTATGATGTTTTTCTCTCTTCCAATTCTTGTATTCACGGCCTATAATAGAACCACTATGTTTGGATTGTTGAGCATATTGCTCCAATAAAAACGTATGGTGTTGAACGGCTATTGCAACCCTCTGTTGATGAAGGTCATCATCATCATAATCATAAATTTTGTATAGCATTCCCACGTGAATTCATTGTAAGAAGAAGAATGAGATTGAAGGAGATTATGTGGTCAATTTGGTAGAATAATACTTCTTAAATAGACAAGAAAATGAGATGAACTACATATTTGAAAATAATTCAATGAAGATAGGAAAAGATAGGGAAAAATAAGGGAATCCAATAAAGTGAGATGGACAAAGCTGAGCAATGGTTCAAAACATGATTGAAACAAGACAATAAGAGATGGGAAATAATTCAGAAAATAATTTAATGAAGAGGGAAAGATAAGGGTATCTAATAAAGTGAGATAGACAAAATTGAGCAACGGTTCAGAACATGATTGAAACAAGACAATAGGTATGGGAAAGGGTTCAGAAAATAATTGAAGAACACAAGTGGAGTGGCAAAAGTTCAGAATATTATTGAATGAAGATAAAGGAATCCAATGAAGTAAAAGTAAAAGTAAAAATGGAAGAAAATTATGGCAATGGCTTCAATAAAGGGTTCGAATTATTTCGGGCATACGCAAAAGTAGCAGCTCCAGGGATTGCTGCAACTTTTAAAAAAATCGTGTGGTTCCATTATTTTTAATATAAATTGTGTGCTACTTGTTTTTATTTTCAAAGTCCATGAAAAAAATGTTGTTGTACTTGTTTTTATTTTTAAGTGAAATTCTATTATGTTTAAGAATTTTAATTTTTTTAGGTAAAAATGTTTAGAAAATTAAATCATGAATGTTGAAACAAAAATAATGTTAAGAAAAATTAAGGAGAAAAAAAATTTAGAGGTTAATAATTCTTAAACAATTTAATAAACTTGCGACTCAAATGATGAACCTGTAAGGTTAGAGGAAAAAAAAATTTGAGTCTTGAAGATACATGAATAGTTATATTTTGGAGGGTAGAAATTTGAGTTTAGCCCTAATATGGTTGGAGATGGCCTAAATGGGCCAATATGGGCATTACATTCTTTGTAAAAAATATTTGATGGTTGAACACAATTAACAAAGTGAGAACGGAAAAGTTTGATTTTGGTTGATTATTTACAAATAAATGACTATTTATAGAGTTTGTGATGAGTTTTAGGATTGGATATAATTTAGATAATTTTAAATTATTATTTTGACTATTGGATTTTAAACTATTATTATTTTTGACCCGTTAAAATCAGTCTGGAAAAATCTGGACTGTTAGATCAATTCTGCCCGTTGGGTTTGCTGCCGGAAAAATCAGGCCGAAGTTCGCCTGGTTGAGGGCCTAAGTTATTTTATTTACCGCCCAAATACAGCTCTTGGGGCTAATTGGCACAACGTGTTGGAGTTGGCCTGGCCTAACACGCAGGTCCATGGATAAACTTTTGACTTACGTGTGTTCTATTTTGGGCTTTTGGCTTCTGGCTTTTAGGCGAAAAGAGCAATTTTTTCAATTCGGGCTTTTTGAGAACTTTGAAAGAAAATTCTAAATGCGCGTTGTATGGATCCTCCTCGGTCTCGCTACGCGTGCTGTTGTCAGCTGACCATGTGCGTCTTCGTCTCCCTCTGAATCCTGAGTTTGATGTCAGCTTCCCATTTTGAACTTGAACGGCTCAACCCCACAACCCCACCAAAACATAACTCTCTCACTTTCTCTCTCTCACTCTCAGTCCCCACTTCTCTTTGTTGACTTTTTCCTCCATTTTCACACACACAAAAACACCCACTTCACTTCAGCTGGTCCAAGTTCCATAGACTTTGACAAAGAAACAAAAAGAAAGCAAGCAGTGGTGGCATGTAGCACTCAGCAATGGGCTGCTTCCAGTCCAAAACAGCACACCTCCCTTCCCCAGACCAAGACCCTCCTGTCACAGATCCAGGTTTTTATCTTTTGCTTCTCTTACTCTTTTCATTTCCTTTTCTGGGTTTCAAAGTTTCGATATTTTCTTGTCATAAAATGATTTAAACAAGCAAAACAATTGATTAGTGTTTGAACAATAACTGTTTTGATGTGAAAGCTAATGGAGAGGAATTAGAAGATGAACAAGCAGTTCCTGCTTTCAAAGAGTTCAGTCTAGCAGAGCTAAGAGCAGCCACCAATGGGTTCAACTCAGAACTTATAGTCTCCGAGAGTGGTGAGAAGGCGCCCAATGTTGTTTACAGAGGCAAGCTTCGCAATAATCGATTGGTGGCCATTAAACGCTTTTCTAAGCAATCTTGGCCCGACCCACATCAATTTTTGGTATGTCATTGCCACTGAGGTTGTGTATTTTATGTGCTTGTGTTTTTGCGTAAGTGGGTGTAAACTAATGGGGTTTTTTTGGATTGTATGTAGGCGGAGGCTGCCGGGTTTGGCAAGGTTAGGCACAAACGTTTGGTGAATTTGATCGGGTGTTGTGCTGAGGGAGATGAGAGGCTGTTGGTGGCAGAGTACATGCCTAATGATACTCTCTCAAAGCACCTCTTTCACTGTATATTTTTATCTTCTTTATGCGTATTTCTGCTTATAAACTATTTATTTTAGATAAACAGTAGTGTTGCTAATTTTCTACAAGCCCCATAATTTTGGAACATATAATATGATTTAGTTTTGCTTGGGTCAATCGTTGAGTTGCAACTTTATTTGGAAGTGATCCCCAATCATAAATGAACATGGTTAGCTGTATCCAAGGACTCTAACTAGTCACTTAGCTCTATCTATAGTCCTTTTTCTGGTGTAAGTATTGTGTATCTTAAGTGTTTTATATGTAAGTTACATATGTTAAATGAGATGCCCATAGTATTTGGTGCTATTGCTAGGGTCTGTGCTATAGGTATTTCTGTTTATTAATTTCTTTCACATGTTCTTTATTGTAGGGGAGAAACAGCCATTGCCATGGGATATGCGTGTGAGAGTTGCATACTATATTGCACAAGCCCTTGATCATTGCAATACAGAAAACCGAAAACTGTATCATGACTTAAATGCATACAGAGTTCTCTTTGATGAGGTACACAATATTCAAACACAATGCTTTAGTGCTTCATTGACTTCAAAACCTAATTATTGGAATCAAGATAGGGCCTTACTGAAACTTTCTTTTTCTGAACTGGTTGAGTACCCGTGGCTGATTCTCTCGTTCACATTGACAGAGCATATTTTGTGGTGTTAATATTGAACTTACCCTAATTATTGTTGAACTTAATTTTTGATTGGATCATAGGATGGTGACCCGCGGTTGTCTAGCTTTGGTCTGATAAAAAATAGCCGAGATGGAAAAAGCTATAGCACTAACTTGGCTTATACTCCACCTGAATTTTTGCGGACAGGTATGCCATTTTTTCAGCATATAGCATTAGATTCTTATTTGTGACAAGATTTCAATATGATGATATTTGATCTTGTGTCATAATGGTTAGTGATATTCATGAGAGCATAAAATAAAATAACTAGTCAAATGATGTTAGGTTCTACTTAAAAGTTAAAACCCAAAAGAAAATAGGGAAAAAAACAAAGCTATTACAGAGAGCGATAGTAAAGCTTAACACGATAGGTTCTAACTGGTGAAGTTAGATCAAGATGTGAAAGATATTCCCTGAAACTCACATTTTGTTATCATGTGCTTCCTATGGTTTGAGCATTACCATTTACCAATGCGAAAGACCCAGAGGCTTTATTCTCTAGTTCCCCTAAGCAAGCTTCAATTTCCCTGCCTTCCAAAGAAAGTGAAGTCTCTTGCCTGATTTCAACATAGAGGAAATATTTTGACTTTCCATTCTTGATTTTGTTACACGATCAGTCTTGTTAAAAATAATAATGCCATTGATGATTAAAATGCAATTAAGTCTCTTTTTCTTCTTTTTTGGCCTTTTGTTTTGGATATAAAACTGAATTTCACTAATTGAAAGAGGAAGTAAAATGTGGTGGAGAAGATATCCACTGAGCCTGATGAACTAAAACCTGCTTACTCCACTGACAAGACCAACGACACCAACAGATAAGACTTCCAATACAACGTATCACAGCAATGAAACTGAAAAAAAAAGAGCAGAATTCCAATCAGACCATATTGCAGAAAAAGAACTATCCCTAAACTCTCGAAAATTGCACTGGTAGCAGAATGATAGGATAATTTATGGTATGTTTCAGATAATAGTTACAAAACAAATACCATTATCTTTTCTAAATAATAAAATGTATGGTTTTTGCAGGTAGGGTCATTCCAGAGAGTGTGATCTACAGTTATGGAACTGTTCTTCTTGACCTTTTGAGTGGAAAACATATCCCTCCTAGCCATGTATACATTCTTCACATATTTTATCTTTAATTTTCTTCACTATCTCAAGCTTCATGGAATGTTCACTCTTTAGGTCAATCATGTGATATTTAAATTTATTGTCAAATAATGCTGACGATCTGCTGTTAGAGAATCTAAAGAGAGTGAATGGAAAGGCAATAAGGCAAGAGTAAGAGGGGTAATATTTCCAGAGGCAGTAATTCCTCCAAACACAAAGGAAAAGAGTGTTACATTATGAGCATCCAGTGGCAGCGTCATCCCATAGGCCATATAGATCTTCGGTTGAAAAAAATAAGAATTAAAGATGTGTTGTTGAGGGTAATACTAAAGAGACAATGGTTTTACTTATAAGTAATACGAGATTGTTTCCCTATATAGTCATCCTCCTATTGTTTCAAACATAATTTTTGCAGCTCCACAAGTAGGTACAAGCATTGTCTCTCGTTGTTGTCTAAATTGGATCACATTTTGACATTTAATTCTTATAGACTAATCATATGCCTACATTTATGTTAACTTGGGATGGTAGTACTTACACCATCTGCATATGGAATCAAGACTAAATACTTGAGCAGAAATAATGGAGTACATAGGTAGCTAATAGGTATAAACAAAAATGAAAAACCAATGGATGCTCCATACTGTGCGAGGGATGGACTTGACCAACAAAATTGACCATTGTTAATTTTATGGTTATACCAAGGGCTACACTGTCTTTTCAAATGAGTTGATGCTTTAAACAACTGTTTGAGCCTAGCCTCATTGTTGAGAAGCTATTGAGGGCCATATAGTTGGTCTTGAATAAAGTAGCAACAAGTCCCATCAACACAGTAACCAACTGTGTTGTAGCTACCCTGCTAACTATTGTCTACTTGCTGCAAGTCTAAGCACTACATATAGCTTTCTTTGCAATTAATGATGTGTAAGACTGTTTGTTCTTCGATGTCATGGAATCATCGATTGTTATGGTGTTTCATTGTCTTTAACGATTGGAGCACACATGTCGTGTACAAATTCTTACTTTGCGGAATTATCTTTCTTGTTGTTTCCTAGGCACTGGACTTGATAAGGGGAAAAAATTTGTTATTATTAATGGATTCATCCTTAGAAGGACAATATGCCAATGAAGATGCAACTGAGTTGGTTGAACTGGCCTCAAAATGTCTTCAATATGAGGCTAAAGATCGACCAGAGATTACATTTCTTCTTTCAGCTGTAGCCCCCCTCCAAAAGCAGACAGAGGTATTTTGAAGAGCCTTTGTGCCTGATTGAAAGCTAGGATTTTGTGATAACTTGGTTTGTAATTACTTCTTATGTTTTATGCTTACTAAGATGTTCATTTGCTCACATTGGTATTTTAGGTTGCTTCACTTGTTCTAATGGGTTTAACTAAAACTCCAGTGGTGCTGCCAACCATGCTTTCTCCCCTTGGAAAGGCTTGTGTACGGATGGACCTTTCTGCAGTTCATGAGATTTTGCTAAAAACTGGTTATAGAGATGAAGAGGGTGCAGAAAATGAAGTGAGTTTCTTTTCTTCTCTATGTAGGTGAACCACACACACACACACACACACACATATTTATATATAACTTAAATATGATAATCTTACCATATTAAGTAATTAAAGAAGGCAACCTTCTTCCATTAAGTAAAGTTTCTTGAGCAAATGCCGCTATTTTACCTAAAACTTGGTTGATGCTCGACATCAGTTTTGCTTAGCCTCTGTAACACCTCTTTAAATATAGTTTTATGTCTTAAACTATGTTCTTAGTAGTTGGCTTTTCTATAGGACTATTTTTTTTAGTTTTAATTTATAAATGCTTGTGAGTTGTAATCTTATATAATGATCACTTTCACTGCAAATGTGTTCTAAAGCTGTCATTTCAAGAGTGGACACAACAAGTGCAAGATATGTTGAATACCAAGAAATTTGGGGATATTGCGTTTAGAGACAAGGATTTTAAAAATGCTGTGGAGTATTATTCAAAGGTATTTTCTTTAATTTCTATTGTTCGTTACATTTACTATTATTCTTTAAAGCAGAATTTGATTCCTATGATGTACTGCTCTAGTTAGCAATTTCTGATATTAAAATCTTGAAATGGGGATGCCATGTTCCTTAAAGCATCTTTTGACTGTAAGATTTTTATTTTCCATTAAAGTGGAATAGTACCTTTTACAAAATCTTTCTGGCTCTTAAAATCATACGAGCAGAAAATGACAAACAAATTATCCAGAAACTCCTACTTTCCATATGGGAGGTGCCACTGATGCGATTGTTGTCCGGTTACCATTTGATACACAGTCCAAAGGAATCTTTCTATTTGGGGAACATGATGAACCACAGACCACGGAAAAGATTTTCTGGGGAACGAACTACTTTAAACACATTTAAGCAATTTTTGGTTTTTGGAATACAAACACATTTAAGACTTAATATAAGGAAAAGGTGACCTGAACCGTGAGCACTTGCAGACATGTCAATATATTTCAGCAAAAAAAATAAATAAATAAAAATCAGTCTATTTCTATCTTTATAACTGTATTTTAATATTTGATAATTGTTACTTGCTCAGTTGGTTTCCATGATGTCTGTTCCTTCGGGTACCGTATTTGTGAGGCGAGCCCTCGCCTACTTAATGAATGGACAGCCAGAATTAGCTTTGAGAGATGCCATGCAAGCTCAGGTGTGCTTGCCCGAGTGGCCAACTGCCTTCTACATGCAGGCTCTCGCCCTCTCCAAACTAGGAATGGAAACTGATGCTCAGGACATGCTAAACGACGGAGCTTCCTTTGAAGCGAAGAAGCAAAACAGCTGGCGCAATTAGATTGTGAAGCTGAGGAGATGGTGGTGCCAGGGTCTTCGAATTTTCAGCCACTTTTCACCCTGATGCTGTGGCTGCTTAGGGTCCATGATCAAATGTAAGCAGGTTAGATTGAGGGTTATTTTACGTTGACACCCTCATCTTCTAGTTGGAAAAGTAGTTCTACACAAATGTATAACCAAAATTTCAGATGAGAAATAAGTAACTAGATTTGTAATCACTCAAATTTACGAAGTTCAGTTTTCTAACTTGGATTTTTGTGTACCTGTACACCCAGAAACCCTCAAGAAACATGTCCATGAATCTCCCTTTCTGGGAGTGTCAGCTACTTGGTAAAATGTATATTTTTTTAATGTGCATAAAATTCAGTGAGCTACTCTTTTTAAATACCAAGGTATTAGTGAAAAATTTCACATTGAAATTTAGGACTTCCTGCTCGGCTGCCAGACGTCGAGACGTACATTTTATGCAACAATTTCAATCTCACCCCCATATTCACTCTTACTATTAGACCTGACATTCGTGTCATTTTTTCAGTTTTTGTGTCAATTCGCTTTTTTTAACGGGTTGACACGATACAATAAGAAAATAGGTTGAAAATGTCAAATACAAACACGAACCATTATAATTCGCGAATCACGTGACACAAGACGTTTCACATGATAAGAAAATAAACTATTTTTTAATGAATTTTAAAATCTTAGAATAAAATATCTCCTTTCTATTTTCACATTTTTCTCTTTCTTTCTTTCTTCCTCTTTTCTTATTCTTTCCTTCCCAGACCCCTTTCCTTCTTCCTCTTCTCTCCTTTCTCTTTTCGTCTTCCTTCCCTCTTTTTCTCTCTCACTCCTCCTTCCTTCCATGGCATGAATCCCATCAACCCACCTCTCTCTGGTTCCACTAATTAATGGTTGTGGTGGTTAGATTGGGTGGTGATGGTGGTCGAGCTGGGTATGTGGTGGTTGGTTTCTCTCATCTTCCCCTCTGCAACTTTCTCCCTCTTTTCCCTTTCTCTTCTTCTTATTCGTCTCTCTGCTTTCTTTCTTTTTCCTTCTTCTTCCTCTCTTTCTTTTTTTCTCAGTTGCATATTTGTGTGATTATGAGTTTTTTTCCTTGAAATTTTGGGGCTGATTATGTTGCATGGAGGAGATTTGATTGTTTTGGATATAATTTGATTGGATTGTTTGCTCATAGAAGAGTTGGCTTTGATTCGGAGAGATTGAAAACAAAAAGGCCCCCGTTTAACAGGTTGATTCATGTTTTCATGAATGAACACTGAAAGGACCCGTTAGCTTACCTTGTGGCTAGCGGGTCAACACGATAGTAACACGACCTGATAACTCGGACCCAAAAACTGAAATTTTCGTTATCAGGTCCCAAAAACTGAAATTTTTTTACGAATTCTTGTCATGTTAATGGGTCATTTACGATATTGCCATATCTACTTACTATCATTAGCCATCAACATAAGATTGTACATCATGGACAAGCTACACCCCTCATCAGCCTAGCACCCTTTGTGTTTTGTGCCAAGCTGGTTTTGATAAAGGGTAAAATGCATTTTCGCTCAATCTATTTTGACTGCCTTAACAATGAGGAGATTGTGTTGTTCCTGAGGTGGTTGTTGGGCTTATGTTTTGAGATTGTTGGGAAATTAGTTCTTCTCGTTACGTCAATTACTGATGGAAAGGTAAAAATAAATAAAGTACCAAGATGACAATGAGTGAAAAAAGAGAGTACACCAAGAATTTAATGTGGTTAAGTAAAAACCAGCCGACGTCCATAGAATGTTGCCACCTTTGCTATGTGAAAGAAGAAAACAAATTGAAGTACAAGAATAAACACTCAAGACTTTTGTACCTAAACCCGAGTCAATAGGATACACCCTTTGTACACCTTCTTTCAAACCCGTGAAGTATGAAGGAAGTTAAGGTTCCGCCCCAAAATCAATTGGCAATAGGGGAGTAACCTAACTCCTTATAAACTCAGGTTAGGTTTCTTAACTTTTCAATATGAGATTGTTTTGGGGTGGAACCTCAACTTCCGTAATGGTATCAGAGCCAGGTTAGCCCACGTGTGAAAGCCCAACGATCACACATGCTCCACGTCACCTAATATGTGTTGTCCACGTGTTAGGCTTGAAAGCCACACGTGCGGAGGCGTATGAGAATATGAAGATAAAGAGTCCCACATTGGAAAGTTGAGAAATCTAGCAAAAGCTTATAAGGAGTTGAGCTACTCCCCCTATAACCAATTAATTTTGGGGTGAAACCTCAACTTCCTTCAAAGATCATTCTCATCAAAGAGATATTTCATCTCATGATTCTCTAAGAGTTATGAACAGTCAACCCCCCTAGTGAATAAATAATTACACTCACATTTGAGTTGATGGATGCCTCACTTCATGCCAAAATGAGAATAAACCCTCTTTAGGCCATCTCCAACGCTTGGGGGGTGGAAACCCTAATTATCATATTTTTAGCCCAAAAATCCCCAAAACTCTACACCAGATCTTCCTAATCTTATCATGATTTGTTTTTACTATTTTCTAAAGTATATTGAAGAAGAGTTAGGATTTCCAACCAATCATGCCATAATCTTCAATCTCATCCTTTTGCTTCACAATTAAAACTTTTGATGGCTTCTATGGTAACCAAATTAAATCAAAACCCTAAGTCAAATATTTCCTTCAATTTGGGGATTATTTGACCTAATTGGGAGTTACTCAATTTAATTGAGAGTTATTTCATTTAATTGGGATTGATTTGTTTCCTACCTTAATTAGAGATTTGATTTAAATCAAATAAATCAAATCCCTAATTAAGCCAATCTCGCCAAATCAGGGAAGAATAATTCCTTTCCATATGTGGAATTATTCTTTTGAAACCCTAGCCTCCGAGGCCTCCTATAAATACATGGTTACGCATAAGGGTTGAGGTACGTCTAAATTCCTCTATGAAACTCTGCATAAATTATCTTTTACAAATCCTAGCCGCCATACTCTTTCTCTCTCTCACACAAGGCTCCGGCCATCACACACGGCTCCTGCGGCCCGGTTCACACTATACATACAACTTCGTACCCTTCTTAGCTATTGTTTCTCTACGAATCAATTGAACTAACTTAGGCATTAGATGACCTTTAGCCAACACCCTCTGGGTGTGGTCCTCTTATTCCAATTTATTTTGCAATGAGAAAGAGACGACGAAGAAGAAAGGAGAATCTTAGACGAATATTCTCGTTGGACGAAAATCGCTCCCACAGCTTCTACTGGCAAGGTATTACAAATGCTATTAGATTTTGATTATGATGATGACAATCATCAACAAAATGTGTTGTTTGGTTGATTGGTGCCAACAACCCCATCTTCAATGATAGAAACCTGCCTTTTGCATAATGTCTCATCTTCTTATGGTTTCCAATTCACACATATTCAAAATTTTGGGGTCATATCCAACAAAAATGAAAGAAGAATGAACAAAAATAACAAAGTGAGAAAGGAACAAATTATTTTAGTTATTATTTAACAAATAATTAAAAAAATATTTTGACAGTTGGATTTTAATTTCAGCCATTAGATCTTGTTTTTTCACGTTGAAATTGGTTAGATTAAATCCTAGACATTGATCAGATGTAGTTCTTGTTGAGAATTATTTAAAAAAAGAAAATGAACTATGTTCATCCGATTTCAATGTTGCACTCATCTGGGCCTTTGTGGCTGACAGATGATGAGCACGCAAGGACCCCTCTTTTATGTTTGTCTTCACCAGGGTTGGATGATGCTGCAATTCCCGCCCAAAAACTTGTCTAGGACAAAATTCGGGTTAAGAAAATAATGGCAACAAGATAAAAGAGGATGAGCAGAGACAATAATTCAATGAAAAGATGAGGAGATAGAGGAAATGCAGAGAATTCAGGAAAAGTTAAGATGAGTAGATAGATGAGACGGCCATCAAGTCATAAAAAATTAAAAGACAAGAGGAGATGGGCACCAAGTCAGAAAATAATTCAAGCCATGTGGGATGATGGCCTACAAGTTTTTTTTTTTGGGGTAAAGTAAGGGGCCAAAGCCTAAACAACACAAAAAGAACTACACAACAATCATCCTTGGACGAGCCAAGCTTCCGGCATCAGCGGCAAGAAGCTCCACAACCATACCAGGCGCTGAATCCAAAATATGCAAACCCAAGGGAAGATCATGGCTCATAGAAGCCAAAGAATCAGAAACAAAATTTTGCTCACGAAAAATATGATGGCCTACAAGTTTTCATTTTAATTGAAATAAATTTTTTTTTTTTTTTTTTTGGTAGAATATTAATTTTGTTATAAACAATAATTAACCCAAAAAAAGATTCTGCCCAAAATATATCAAAAGCGTTTTTAAATAGTTAGAAAACGTTTTTAACCTTTTCAATTTCAAAAACAGTTGCCTAACATGCTCTTGATTTTGGTTATTGAATTGGTGGGTCCTGTAACCTGTTGCCAGGCTGCTGTGTATTGGCTCCAGTCGAGTTGGAGCTTTCTAACCGCCTGCTGCTGTGTCTTGTTTCTTTGCCGACCTTTTCTGCGTTTTTGTTGTGTTGGGCTTTTGTGGACTTGGCTTCTTTTGGTCGTCGATTATTTTTCTAACTCTTCCACATGTTTCGGATATTATGATAACCACATGTTTCATCCACATTAGAAATTATTTAATAATTAAATTAATAGAGATTTACTATTATACTCAATATAAGGGCTCAAATTATAAAAATATCCTATATGAAATTGACTTTAGAAACACACGCAAAACTCATTTACAACATAACAAAGAGGCTTTTAACTTCTTATAAATTATAAAATTGCCATTAATTTCTTAAAACAAGCCTAACTCCAAAACCTCATGAAAAACCCAAAATACTCAAAAGAGTATCAAAGTAATTTAATAATCAAAATTAAATTCAATATGACTAGCTGTCATTTTTTGAATTTTTTTTGGGTTTGTTTATAGAAATTAAATGGTGTATGATTATTTATATTATTAGTATTAAGAATGAGTATATGATTAAATATCTCTTAAAGTAATAGACACCTTCTTCTTACAATAGAAGAAGCATCCACGTTGAGACAAAAGGACAAAATTCAACAGGGATGTTAAAAAATTAAAGGAAATTAAAAAAAAACGAGGAAATTAATGATCTTGAAGCCATATTAAAAAAAATTAATGGGCTCTAATACATATTTAACCACTTTTTTTTATCATCTAGAACAAAA